AAATGATTTAATAAATTTCAGCCATTAGGAGCACAACATTTGCCGACCATCCCGTGAATGGCCTAGTTCCTTTGCCTTTATGAATCAAACCTAATATGCTATCTGATACAGGTTCATCATCATATTGTTCCCATACATAACCAGTACGCTTCCATTCTTTGTACACACACTGAATCACATCATTGCGTATTTTCTCATATAACCGGGTACATCTTTGCTTAGTTTTCACATCTAAGTACCGTATTGGTTCCAAGTTTTCATATTCATCATTATTTGCATAAGTGGACTCAGTATCTTCTGGTAGATTGGCATAGTAGTATAAAGATGAACATGCCAAGTATTGCATATTAATCCAAACAGATCCACGCCAGTATGGCGGGTCATGCATAGTATTTCTCACTTTGTATAGAGGTGAACTTTTTGACAAAGACCTTAAGCCACAACGTTTAGTTAATAAACTATCATTTCCGGTACTGTCATTATTAGTTCCTTCTATTAGGTCCAGTATTGCATTTAAACGCTGGGAATTCTTTACTAATCGAAAGAACATAGGGAATAGTGCATTATACCCCACATGTGAATCAACAAAACGCCATTTAGGGGAACTCTTTCGTCCTACTACCCTTACAGAATCTTGCATACCTTTTAATTTCTCCAATCTAACATCATCTGTGTGTATACCATAATCAGCATACATTGGAATTTTAGATGTGGAAGTTTGAGATGTGTCATTGTTTCCCTGTGCCCAATGCAATCGATCCAAACTTTCAACCAACATCCAAAAATGTATTGAATATTTATTTTTAAAGTTAGTTATACTCGTTGGTTGTAGATAATTGAAAAGATTATTCATTATTCTTGCACCGTGGGCCATCCAGCAATGTAAATCAACATGGCGTTCAGAAGCATCGAAATCAAAATCATTTTCTCTATTTAAAATACTATCTATGTTTGAAGTTCCATCATCATTGACAGGATGAGATGATCTAGGGTAATCGTCCATTCCTGAAGTCAGTGTTTTTGGATTCAATTCCTTGTTAGTTATTGCATCACGTCCTCTCCAACGATATCCAATAAATCTTTTATCTAGATGAAACTCATTAGGATTAGTTGAGTGTTTGGTATAATTATTTACAGCCTTTTGAGTACGGTTAAACCATGTATACCACGCTTTTAGTCTTGGATATAATTTTTTTAATGTACTATCAACTTCATCAAAGTTTAATTTTTCTTTATTACTAGTTGTATCATCTTTGGCCTGTCGACGTTGTTTAATCTGTCTTAGTAACAAGTCAACAGTAAGTAATAATGTTGGTGGATTGGCAGCCCTTGAACTTTGAACCACAAATTCTTCTGGCACTCTGGATCTGGCTTCTGAGCCTAGAATCTTTGAATAAATATATTTAATTAAAATCAAAAATAATCAGTATATTTCATAAAATATAAATAAGTTTTAAAAGTATTCTAACCTGTTCTCTAGGTATCCATCCCTTGTGATTTAACAAATCCATCCAGTGGCCTAAAATTTGCAGTTGTAAATCAACACTCCATCTTCCCAACATTAGACCATGGAAACCATCGTCCCACAAAAAACCTCTAGGGAACTGTGATCTGGACGGGACTGCCGTCAGTAGACCGGCTCTCCAATACTTAACAGCATCCACTATATCTATTTCTGATACACCACCATTGCTTAAATTGTTTTCATCATCATCATCTCTTACTAGAGATGATCCATAAAAGTATCCTAAGCTTCCAGCCATGTTACTAAAAGTAACTTTCGCAAAATCTAGCAATAAAGATTTGTCCGCAGTATTGTCTTTCATTTTAATTGGAAATGTATTTTGAAATTTTTGTTGAAATCTATGACTGTATTCAGTATGGACTGAACTAAATTTATCGCCCACTAATAAAGGTGATAAGTCTTTAAATAAAGCTTTATTTATGTATTTATTTTTTTGAGTATACGCTACATCTAGAGAATAACTTCTAAATTTAGACGTAATATCTTTCTTACTATTAGGGGTGATTGTTACTTGTAAAGCTACAAAATTTTTCAAAAGATTAGAAGTTTGATGACTATTTTCGTGTATACTATACTTCTCTTCTACAAGCATTATTTGTGAACTAAGTCCAGGCTCTTTTACTGGTTGCCGTCTAATAGCCATTGATTTTGCTAAGCATTGTTTCAACATCGCCGCATTGGGACACCATGAACTACTTATACTTGTGTTTATATGCACTGTTGGTGTACTAAAATTATTTGTATTGTTGGGTGGTGTGGGAATTATAGACATTTTAAAGTCACTTAGACTTGGCGTAGACCCCATAATTGTTACTAAAGGAGATCCTAATATCCCATCTACGCCTTTTAGTATGCCAAGAGAATATTCTTCATTATTCAACAACTGTTCATCTTCTCCAGGATCAATATATACATACCATACTAGAGACACTGATGACAATGAATTATTTGTTTCATATATTATCCGTGTAGTCCAATCAGTATTTGATGTATCTGTTTTTGCATTATTATTAGGTCTCAAAAATATAGTTTGTAATTTGAATCCATTTTCTTTTCCATCATTGATCACTTGATGTCCGTAATTGACAGTATCGTGCTCCACATAACCATATACTAAATTTTCATGAGAATTATCACACATATGACGAATTGAAGAGTCTATTGATCCAGTCCTCATCAAACTATGTTGTGAATACCACATAAGGCCAGCAGCGACCGAACCTTTTCCCAATGCTTCTTTTGTCCGTAATCCAAAGTAAGCACCTGGTCTGTAAGTACCCCATAGTGTTAGGTCACTATTTTTCTGTATAACCTGTAAAAAAATGTCATTAAAATGTGTCATAAAGATTTTTAACACAATATTGTCAAACTCAGTAGCTACAATATTATGTACCTAGAAAAGAAAAAATAGCCTAATCAAAATATTTAATCTGAAAAATAAATCTAAATGCTATTAAATATATAAGACTTCTATTATTCTATTTTGGGTAAATATAAAAATAATTTAATTTGATTGATAATATTATTATTATTTATTTAAATTAATCTAATGTATGCATAGTCAATTTGTGTGTCACATAAGACATAGTGTAATAATGCATACAAACATAAGAATTGTAAAAGTATACTTATTGTTAAAAAATTGTTCATAATTTAATGTAGCTACTTTATTTTGTTTTGTTTATTTGAAAAAGCATATAATGTACATGTGTTGAAAAAAAAATATTTTTAATAGAATGTAATTTTCAAGAAAAATTGTATGTTACAATAGGTTTTACAAAACAAAATTAAATTAAATTATTTTTATACTCCCTATGTGTTCAAATGATGTTTAAAGGATTACTTTTGGCCCTTCGTAGGGATAGTTAACAGCTCGTGTATCTAAGTATCCACGATAGGTCAATGCTACAATTCCACAGAGTAATACAACTGTCGATAATATCCATATTCGACTTAAAGTAAACTTCTCTTCATCAATATTGTCCCGATTGCTTTCAGATTGGGCTTTCGGTTGCCGACGTCCTTCTGTTCTAAGTATGCCCTGGCGATCAATGATGGCAGTCGTCGGAGAAAATCTTACAGTTGGAGTCGGGGAGCTGGTTTTTTTTTTAACTGCAACACCCTAATTAATATCGATATTCGATAATTATTTCACTGGTCAACAAAAAATAATGTAATGTTGTCGCAATCGTATACGTACCATATCCATATAAGCAGCTTCACAAGAGTGGTACGTGTATAATATTTAATCATAAAAATAAAATATATAACAAAAACGTATTTTTAATAAAAAATAATAATTAATATTATTATTAATCACAATAACAGTCGACGTGCAGTGTTATCTGATATCACTGTTCTGATATCGTCTTATCAGCCGGGTGGTTACGTGGGCGATCTTTCAGATAATACTGACAACAAAAATGATGCGCAAAAATGTCTGCAGACTGCAGTCCTTACAAACATAATATTATCGTTATAATATTAATATTGTATATTCGTAAATGTTCAAATTATTGTAACAACGACAATAATGTGTTTGTGTAATAATATTGGGATGGTGGCGGGGTGGACCAACGCAAATTGTTCGTGATCATCATCTCCCCTCCCACGTTGCAGTCTAGCCATAGAATTATCGTTTTTTTTTGCACAACAGCTGCATTTTGATATCGGCGGCGGCCAAGGCTCGATGCTACGCACACACGTACGCAACACACTGTGCACCTACACGGTTACAGCACTAGTACCCTACGCACACGCACGCCCGGCTGAAGTCGTGCGATAATTGCACGCTCACAGTGATTATAATATTAAAACATTGATAACGGGTGCCCTCGGTCGTCAGCCAGCGGTGAGCGGAGTGAGAGTGACTAGATAAAAAAATATTGTTATTATTACCTACTACTTTGCTCAAGGAAACGGATTATAATAATAATAATAATAATAATTACACATATCGTTTGTTGCAGTAGTGTTGTACAGTCGACCAACGTTCCGTTGCAACGAATGTCGCCGTTCACTGTCGCCACCGCCTCCGCCGTTCACAGTTCGCGATCGACACTCCGTGTGCAATCATCATCGCTATCGATACGCAAACAACATTTAAGAATTATGTTTTTACGTTAACGCGTAACGTAATATAAATCCGTCGTCGCCACTCTCGCAACAGCTACCGTCGTACTCACACACACACACACACACACACACACACACATACATATTCAACAGTCGAAGCACCCATAATATACACACACACACACACACACTTACAACACAGACACATCACACCACACTAGTTTTGTAACACCCAAAATCGTTTTCGAACTTTTGTCCGCCGCGCAGGGTCTGGATAAACGTGTGCCCGCACGTTTTGAACGACTAACGTTTTTCGTCCGTCCGATCGTCCGCCCTCCCGACACCGACAGACATCCAGACGTCTACGTGAACAGCGGCCAGTCATACACGATATCCCGCGATGGCCAAGACCTACGACTACCTGTTCAAGTTGTTACTGATCGGTGACTCGGGTGTGGGAAAGACGTGCGTGTTGTTCCGTTTTAGCGAAGATGCATTTAATACGACGTTCATATCTACAATCGGCATTGATTTTAAAATACGAACCATTGAAATGGATGGCAAGAAAATTAAATTACAAATTTGGTGAGTACCTACCTACCTAGGTACCTGATTGTTGTTTCAATGTTGCTTTACGGCCAGGAACTTTACATTTAGGCATATGTACATAATCAATTGAAAATACAATTTTCTTACGTCTACTCACCACTCCGTCTTAAATAGGCATTCAGTTTAGAATAAATTCAAACTTATCGTTTTCTTGCAGGGATACTGCTGGCCAAGAACGTTTTAGAACAATCACAACAGCGTATTACCGTGGTGCCATGGGCATTATGTTAGTATATGATGTCACTAATGAAAAATCTTTCGACAACATCAAAAATTGGATACGTAACATTGAGGAAAATGCATCAGCTGATGTAGAAAAAATGCTGCTAGGGAACAAATGTGAACTTAATTCAGGACGTCAGGTAAATGTCACTAAAAATAGATTTTTCTCACTGTATTACACAATAAATTATATTATCTAGACAAAAAAGACTACTTCTAAATATACCTATGCATAACATTTAATTGACAACGTACCCACTTAAAAAAATGTTCATTATCTAATTAACTGAAGGTTAAAGTAAATTAAATTTGTTACTGTTATAAATATATTTATTTTAGGTATCAAAAGAACGTGGTGAACAATTAGCAGTAGAGTATGGTATAAAATTCATGGAGACATCGGCAAAGGCTAGTGTCAATGTTGAGGAGGCTTTTCACACTCTGGCCAGAGATATCAAGACAAAAACAGAAAAGAAACTGGTTAGTTTACTAGAATTTAAATGTTTACAGTACCTTTTAGTAACTATTAATTGTTTACAAATTTCATGGAATATTTTATATTTCATTTTTATTGTGTAATAATTAATATATATTTTTTTGCTGTATTTTTTAAAACATCATCCATTGGCTGTTGCTGACAACGTTGGATAATATGGATTTTTTTTTAATTTCCCAATTCGATGTTGGTGTTACATAGAAGGTTAGAGTGTATGTGTGTACGAGTAGTTGTGTAGTGTTTGAGTTTTAAATAATCGATTCTTTAGAATTCTTACCTATCTTAATGGTTTTGTTATGATAGAATATTTAAATTAATAAAGTTTAATAAGTTAATGACAATACTTAAAGAGCTTTATCACCCCAAAAAACATTAATTTTTAATTTGTTTGAATTAATTATTTCTGTTGCATTCAATTTAGCTTTAACATTTAAATAATAATCCTATGACCAGTGGCTCCCAAACTTTTTTTTGACCTGTGGCGCCCTTTTTTAACTATGGTTTTTCTATGGCATCTTTCCCTAAGTCAAGCATGACTAATATTAAGAATGTTGCTGCCGTATTTTGAGTTACAAATTTATTACCATATTATATTCTGTCTCTTCCTTTTTAATACACTGCGGCTTCCCAGCGTGTCATGACTTATACTTTGGGAACCACTACTTTTTTACATTGTTGTTAATTTAATATTTATTTACAGTTGATTTGTTTTTAATTCAATTTATTTGTAGTTAACAACTTAATTGGTTTCTACTCTCGTTTTAACATTTATTTTGGAAAGTTTTAATTTTTTTTTTTTGGCAAAATAATAGTTATAAAACGGCATTTTAGGAAAACATAAATTAATAAGGTTTATAATTTTAAAATGTTTTGACATGAAACTTAAACTTAAATTTCTACTTTTTATTGTATAATGTAAATATTTTTATTTAGAATTTTCTTTTAGCCATTTCGGGATCTAACTACCTACTTTTCTTATATACTCTGCAGGAAGCATCCAATCCTCCCAAAGGTGGTGTGCAATCTAGTGGTGGTCACCATTTAAGAGATAATAATGGAACAAAAAAACTTGGTCAAGGTGGTGGAAGTGCAGCTGCACTCAATTGGTTGTCATCAAGATGTACAGTGCTCTGACCACGATTAGCATATCATGGTTCAATTAAACAACAACAAATGTACACCTTGAATACCATTGTCAACATGACCGTTAATTAAAAAAATTATTATATTGTCTTTCTCTAATACTAATAATTGTTTTTAATGGAAACTGAATCTCTCCGGTATTATGTATTTCTTAATAATATGAAAATACGAACTTCTTTCATTTTTTTATACGTACAATTTTTTTTTAAATTGTAGAAAGTAATTATATAGGAAATATATTCTTGTTTAATTAAATTGAAAAGCAATAATATTATTATTTCACATTTATGATTTTCATTTTATAAGTTGAACAATTTGTTTTGCAATATTTCTGTCTAAGACTTATCACTATTTAACTTTTTAATTGTCTAACTTATAGGTTGTCATCAAATAATATATTCTGTTTTTCAACAATTTTATATATTAGTATAAAAAAAAGCCGCCAACAAAAACAACACATGTTCTTTATTATTTTATTTTATATATTGTATTATATAATAAATTATATATACAAAAACAATACTTATATTATTATTATTACTATTTTTTAATAATATACAATAATTCATACTAATAATATTATTATTACCATTATCCATTATTGATAAATATTTATATACAGCAAATTTACAAGATAAAATAAGGAAACAGAATACATTTGAAATCTAATAACATATGATATTAAATTATATAAACGATTTATCCTGCAGACTGATATTTAATGATTCACTCATTTTAACTTATCCTTACCCTTTTACTGTAACTGCACAGTCTTAATTAAATTTTGTTTCTCCTTTAAAATTAATTTCTACCCTACCAAATTAATTTAAATGACATACAAAACAGTTTTACTCAATGACACATCGACATAAGGACCACATAGGTATCAGTCTGGTAATATTTATCACAAAACTATATTTAGTTTTCTTTGTTTTGTCTCCCCTTTCTACAGTAAGTCATACTTACATAACATATTATTATAAAAGTAATCAGTTAAATAGTTCCTAAAAGTATTTAGATAGAACATATTATATTATTAAGTTGCTATGTCAAAAATAAGAATAATTTAAAAACAATTCTTGTATTTTAACTATACATTGGTTCGATAAAATTACATACTATGGGAAATGTATGGTCTAATAAAACCTATTAAGCGAAGTGATGTTTAAAACTTACTGTAGATAAAAGCATGTCACTTTTCACATAAACAGAGGATTTTTTATAAATTTATGAAAATATTTATCAGTATTATTAAGATAGGGGATGTCCAATATAGTACCTACCAGTGGTGTTGTTGTACGGTGTATACTAATTTACCATTTGGTACCTTAGCGTAACCCATGTGAAAACCGTATAAATACACGAGTATATATGCTCGTAGATATACTTTACCATTTAAAAATATTAAACAATCTGTATTCTGTATTATTATTTACCGTCATATGACATTTATTAATTATCAATAACTTATAGTTAGAACTGTGTAGTAAATATTTAGGATTGTTTATTACTAGTGTATAACGTATTGGTATAGTTCTTCATCTTTCATGTCCGTGATTATTGCATTTTTTTGAATAAATCGTATGAGTTAGCGCCACAAGAATTTCCAAGAGAATTGTCAAGCTAAATGTTATAAAACGTCAGAGCTGATGAAAAACAAACCTAGGTAACAAAAAATGTTTTTTCATAAAGTTTAGGAGCTTATAAATGTATTAAATTAAGAACCCACAAGTGAGCTACCTTTTGAAAGGACAAGGTGGAATCTGATTAGTTTTGCACTTATACGTTTATTATATATGCCATATTGATTTTTGTATCATTGAATTAAGTTCATAAATGATCGTATAGTATACTTTATAGATTTTTCACGAAAACCCCACTGGTACTAAATTGACACTACAGTTGTATGTATTTGCAGTATTTTGTAGGTAGTACAACATTTACTCAACTATGGTCTATGATAAATCTTGAAATATAGCTAGCTTATGTAATCAAATTATGAATAAAAATTATTCATGATAACATTGTCTAGTATAACTAACTCAGCAAACATATTAGATTTTGTTTTAAATATTTGCTGAATAATAATTATTATTTATATATGAATATTTATTATTAAAACAAATTATAAATTACTACCTATCTCTCATACAGGTAGTAGCCAGAAGGTTCTTTGTGAATAAGAAAAATTATGATAATGTTGTTTGTATTATTTTATAATTAATTTCACATAGCAGGTAGGTAGGTTATTATAATATTTGAATGGACAAAGTATCATTTCACAAATAAATAAGAGCTTATAAGAAATAACAGCTAAAAAATATAACTATTTACAACATAAAATGTGTAATTACTTATTACCTATTCGATAAACAATTTAACAATGTAGAAAAATTGTTTCAATAATTATTTGTATTAAGTATAACAACCCCCACCACCACCACTAACCCCCTTAAATTTATATTTCCAATTTTTTCTTTAACCCTAGTGTGTAACCTGTTTGTAATGCAGTAATGGTTTGCAAGGTTATTAATTTCAATTGTAAATAATTTTTTACCTGAGTTTAAGTAATAAAAGGCAATATTGTTTGAGAGGGAAATTCCAACATTTTGAACTTTCGAATTTTCGTTTATACCATACATTCAGACCATTTGTAATGGTTTATTGAGATGTTAATTTTATTTGTAAGCAATGAGCGAGCTTATTTAAAAAAAATGTCTTAAAGACCATGATAAATGCCCAGTATTGTCGCTAAGGGGCCTGCTCGTGTGAATTTAATAAGGGGCAATATTTAGACATGAAGCAATTTCGGTCCCGCCGCCCATGGCATTTGTGTTAGTCGTCGATGATTGATTAGTGTTGATTGATTAGAAAATTGGTTAGCTCAAAGTGGGGAGCTCAACCCGAAACAGTTAGAATCTCGGCACTAGCTCTATGTTTCTCGGTGGCTGAATATGCATGCCCGGTGTGGGGAAGATCAACACACACTAAACAAATTGATACTGCTTTAAATGAAACGGTTCGCATTATAACAGGATGCTTAAAGCCAACACCAGTAGACAAATTATACCTTCTAGCAGGAATAGCTCCGCCACATATACGTAGACAAATTGCAAGTGACATAGAACGGACGAAACAGATCACGGATGAAAGGCACCCGATGTATAACACACAAGTGGAAGGATTCCGACTAAAATCAAGAAAGAGCTTTCTAAAATGTACTAAGAAATTAGAAGATGACCCACAGACATCAAGATTAAAGTTATGGGAGGTAGAGAGCAAGCAAAAAGTTGAAGAGAAGTTACCCCCGGGACATAACAATAAATGGATGGTCTGGAGAACACTAAATCACCTACGTACAGGAGTCGGTCGTTCGAGGGAGAACCTAAAAAAATGGGGAATAAGCAACGAGAATGAAGACATGAGCTGTATATGCAGAGAAGTCCAGACAATGTCGCACCTCCTAAACTGCAATGAATGTCCAATCAAATGTAACGTAACAGACTTACAAGACGCAAATAGCAAGGCTATAAAGTTGGCAGAATTTTGGAGCGATAAAATTTAAAAATTTGAAAAAACAACTCATACGTTACCTTTTAGAACCACCCATTGTTACCATTAATATAATTACCATTATTTACTAAGTACATTATTCCATATTATGTTATTTTATTTTATTTTATGTATACCAGTTGATTTTTTGACTAATTGACTAATTGATATTATGTTTTGTTATTTATAGTTTAAATGTAAGGATGTTTACCTATATATTTAATTACCTGTAAAATGACCTGTCATAACCCCGACTCGTAAAAAAAAAAAAAATTGATTAGTGTGTGTGTGATTGCATGCGGGTTTAGGGCTATCTACGCACGCACTGCACGTGCCCACATGTCAACGGCACCGCCGACCAAAAATAAATCTGAGCTAAATTTAACATAGAAGGGAATATTCCTTCTTCAAGTGAACGCTTAAAAAGAGTCCAGAGGGGGAAAGCTATAACATTTTTTAATTGATATAAGTAGGTACTCACCTGATAGACCATCAGGTCCAATGGACCAGTTACCATGCAAGTCAGATAAGTGTTTATAAACATTTTCAACAGTAAAATTAACATTATTAAGTAAATCAAAGGACTTGATACCTTGATACATGTTCAACATTAAGGCCGGGCCGTCAGGGACAGAAATAAGAGAAGTAGGATAATCTTTATGAATTCCAATTTCACCCCGAGAAAATACACTGGTCTTAGTACATCTGTCGCATCTAAAAATATTATAGTTATATAAACCGAGTTATTACTAATTAAGTTATTATTTAGCCAGGTTTCCGTTAATACAATAAATAAATGGTTAAAGCAAATTAGATAGTTTGGTTCTAAGTAAACGGCAATTTTAATAAAATCCTAAGATTTTATCATGGTGCAGCGAAGAAACTAGGATTGGCTGGCATGACTGTTGAAATGACCGACCTCGTTTTTTTGAAAGCGATGAATGTTTGAAGTATGAAATATTTCACTATATGGTGAAATATTTCACAAAAGCGTGGAACAATGAAATTTTTTTTAACACAAATAAAAACACAATTTGTTTATTTTTTTAACACAATGTTCAGTGTTCTAAATTTTAATGTCAGAATTCTGTAGGTATAAAATATACATACCTATATAATATTGTATAGGGACCTACCTACTTGTATCATTTAAACATTAAAATATTTAAAAAAATTAGAATACCATTTTAAATGTATAATATACCAAAGGTTAGGTATACGTACAGGTACCATACAGTTATGAAGGTAATTTATGACAATTTTATGTAAATATAAAACTTATTTAAAAATAAAACAAAATTTATTAAAATACTGAAATATTTCACACATTTGAAATATTTCATTTTTTTAAATTTCATGAAATTTTCAAATACTAGCTACGAACCAACAGAGGGAACCCTTTATGAATATTACTCGCAGGCCTGTTTCACCACTTTTGA